ATAAAATTATATTTTTGTATTAAAATACCAGCAATACATTTTTATATAAAAAGCATTACCAACATTACTTATTTATATCAAAATTATCAACAATACCTATTTATAGCAAAATTATCAACAATACCTATTTATAGTAAAATTACCAACAATACCAATTTAAAAGCAAAATGACCAGCAATACATTTTATACTAGAATTACCAACAATTCATTTTATAGCAAAAGTACCAACAATATAATTTATCTGTAGTTGAGGGTATACTATTGCGTTCAAAATATATTTGGTTGAAACCATAAAACTGTGTTCAAAATATTTAGATTTCGGCATTAAATAACCCATAGAGGTGTTGATATACCGCTAAACAAAATCAACAAACAAACTTCCAAAAAATGATTTGCAAAGATTCGTCCTGGATAAACGTCGTTGGAACATTAACACAGACCAGGGTGTTCTTTTATGATAGAGCTGTAGGGTCATTCTTAGAAATTAACCCACAGCAAACTATTCGGGAATTATGAAAGATATTAAACATATCGCAGTCTGCCATATATCGAAACTTAAAAACTTGAAAAAACAGGGAAATCTGTAAATTGGTAGTTTTAGTTCCAAACCATCATAGCAAAATAGGGGGTGCAGGTTTATCGATAGCGACATATCTCTTTTCAGAAGAGAGACATTGCCGGTTCTTTAAATATATCATAATAGTTGATAAACAATCAGTTATACTGAACAATGTTCAACGCAAACGGCAGTAGATGGATAAATCTATGAAAATGGTCTCTGAGAAAATCCTGAACTCTATAGAACAATGGTCGTGTGAGTGTGGAGGAATCGTCAAGACATTATTCATTTATGGTTTTAAAAAAGACAGTGAAAAGATAAATGCAGACTGATACATTCAAAAACTGCAACGTGTCGATTGGCGTTTCGTCGAAGCGTGTCCTATGCTGGCCAGTAGGATAATGTTGATGACAACGCAAAGACGCCTACAACAAGATTAACACGAGAACAACTTTGGAATCAGCTTAGCTTCTTCTACCTCAAACATCCTATTCATCTATACGTTGCATTAGTTGATAATTACGCTTGTCGAACGTTACAAAGCGCTTTGAAAGGGGAAAACTTACCCAATGTAAAGCAGATTCAAATGTTCAATTTTTTCACATCAAACCTGAGGAATATTGCTCAAAAGGAGCACAAAAAAACCGCAAAAAACTGCCTGATAAATAGCGTCCAGTCATTGAAAATGGAGAATATATAATTGAATGAAATTAAATTATAATTTTTCTTTTGAAGAATAAAGTTAAAAAACTAAAACAGCGATGGCGAATTCCGAATCATCATCGGCACGAGATTCATTTATTTCTTCCGCTTTTTACAAAATTGCTTGCGTGACTTTCTAAGCAACGAGGTGTTTATACAGATGACACTACCATTTCCTCCCGTCTCATTAGCAAATCCAACATATCTGAGAAAGTATACCTGACAAGTGCTCTTAAAAAGGACATCCCATTAGTGGTTAACTGGGGCAAGAAATGGCTTGTAAATTTTATCGCCTCCAAAACAAACTGCTTTCATGTATCTGTCTATATTTCTGAGATGAGGTATTATGTACACTATTTACATTATTCGGACTATTGTCCTAGAGGACACATGGTACAGTGGATAAAGGCGTTCGTTAGCTCCAGTGACAGTGAGTGTGAGTTCAATACCCGGTGAAGGCAGTGGAGAACTAGGAGAGGGGAATTAACAGGAGATAACTGATAACTGACATCCATTAAACATGGTACGGGGAACTACAACAGTCTACCTCAGTGATCGAAATAAAGGGTTCAGTTCGACATTCCAACCACTTGAAAAAGGTCGGAGCGTACAGTGGCTGAAACGCTGTAATAAATATGGCGAGAAAGATGAGGATAATAGTCCGAATAATGTAAATAGTGTGCTTTCATGTCATTACCACAGATAAACTTTTCTGCCTGCTATCAGCCGATCTACATGCTAAGCTTCCTGGCGTCGCGTTTTTCCAAAGATATGAAGTGTACAGACCATATCGAATTAATTGCATCGTCTACTGCAAAGTAAGTTGGTTCACTGTGCCGTAACGGAAATCTTTTCTTGTCAGAGTCCATTTTGCACATTTATAAATCTACCATATTTTGGTCTGATGCTCCTGGTGTACATCTCAAGATTCATGACAAAATGCAAAGAAGGATCTGTAATTTGACCGATACTGAATGAGTATTGTCTGCAAATACTTTCATGGCAACTGTTCTGAGGAGTTATTTACACTGGTTTCCTGACTACATGAGTTTAAGCGTGGTACTAGATTGGCATTTAGGTCCCACCGTTTCACTGCTGAAATAGATAAATGCAACCGCCACTTCTACTCCAAAAGTTTCTTTCCGTGTACTTCCCACCTGTGAAACTCCCTTCCGCTTTCTAGCTTCAATCTTCAAAATTTAAATGCAATGCCAATCGATATGTTCTGTCTTCTTGATCCATGTTCATTTTTGTTGTCCTTACCTCAATCCTTCCTATTCTCATTCTCTTTCACTTTCTTTTAACCTCCTGCATCCATTGCCGCCTTTCTTGGGGTAAAATGATTAAAAAAAAACAAAAAACAAAAAAAAACAATATATAGACACACACACACACACACACACACACACACACACACACACATACACATATATATATATATATATATATATATATATATAGAGAGAGAGAGAGAGAGAGAGAGAGAGAGAAAGAAAGAAAGAATAAACATAGTGTTGTAGCATAACCACGGACGATAATGGCTATGTCCTCCTTCACATAAATACAGTAGTAAATACTGTATGTTGGTTTGCAGTTGTGTTGGTCAAACTCTCTGCGTCCGGACAGAGAGGATCCCTAGACGAGACTATGTCGAAGGGCAGAGTCTCGTCTCGAGAAACAGCTACAGACCCTTTTTTTTATACTTCTGGCTTGTCTTCACATTATTATTTTCTATCGGATGCCCCCCGATGATTGGAACAAGTATCCCGACATGGAAAGGAGACTACTACGAAAAGAAGTTGTGGAGAAGCATATTAACCCAAGTCGTGAATGGATATTGTGCATAAACGACGTGTTCATTTAATTAGAAATGTTGTTTTCATTTAGATAAACGTGTAGATTAAGGTTGATAACAACAGAATTTTTTCCGTCGTCAGACAATATCTGTTTCGTTATCTAATTCTTTTCTTTCTTTCTTTCTTTCTTTCTTTCTTTCTTTCTACAAATAATCGTTGTTCTTATATGAAAGATATGGCAAAGCTGATAACCAAGGAAACGTTTTAATCTTTTTCTTTTTTCTCTCACTTTTCCCTTTTTGTTCGTTGAAAGCATTAAATATAACTCAAACACCCAATACCGTCACGCTCCGCGCACAGGAGCCAACTTACTTAAGTGGCTTTAAGTTTCGGGAACAATCGACGGTCTGTGATTCAGCGAGCAAATGTCTTGCTCTAGATACTGGTGCATCCAAGCCAATCTTTTCAGAATCGAGAACTTAACAGTGACAAACGAACATGAATAAAGACAGTGTGAGACAGATAAGCGAGAACTTATTAAAGTAAGAGAAAGCAAAAAAATATTTTTAGACATGTCCAACACAGAAAAAAAATAACGCACAAAAAGGGTTATTTATTCAATAAAAAGGATTTCAGCCTCGTTTTCACGTGATAAACGTTTGCATCACTTGATGAAGCTGTTCACATCAATTTTAGTCATCACCTCAGTTGTCAACAAATCCTTGCTTTTGTGGGGCCGATATTGGGTCACTTGCTCGATGAGGCATATGTGGCCAAGGGGATTTTGAATAAGAAAACCTGGAAAGCTACATTTGGTAGCGGCATGATCGTGAAAGTCGTTTCACCAAGATCTTTTCAGATATGAACTGCCCTCTTCTCATCCCGAGTGAATTGCGCTAGATGTACTCGCTCATCCTCCATCTGATCACGGACTCGACCATAATACGTTGCTCGATAATAGCCATAGTTGAATAGGTGGGTTCAGGTATGATGATATTGTACACATACGTGAGGAACCCGGCCGTCTTTACGATGACCGACTACTGATATTTCTTACTCATAGACTCAGGTATCGTGTCTTCGCCAAAGACCAATAAATAACCAATAATGGTTGATATGCCGCTAAACAAAAGCAATCAATCAAACATTTCCCAGGACCGCATCGCAATTCCAATGTAACAGAAAAAAAATGAAGACTTAAAGAATCATGACCGCCTACGTCCTGAACAGCTGTGGTATTTAAAATGAATTTGACATTTGAAAACTTTCGAAGGTGCTACTATAGTATGAGTTCTACTGCGTGGTACTAGATTGGCATTTAGGTCCCACCGTTTCACTGCTGAAATAGATAAATGCAACCGCCACTTCTACTCTAGAAGTTTCTTTCCGTGTACTTCCCACCTGTGAAACTCCCTTCCGCTTTCTAGCTTCAATCTTCAAAATGCTCAGGAAAAACGTTGACCTGTTTAAGTTTTTTTTTAAAAATGGCTTCAAATCATTTTACAAACATTAAAATCACTATTCAGCTTACAAACATTAAAATCACTATTTGATGATTTTTTTGATTTAAAAAAAAATATATAATGACTTTAAATACATTACCGATTCATTGTTCACTGCCTTTAACCATAACCCTGACCCTAACCCCTAACCCTAACATATTTCATACTTCCAACACTTGGTAAATATGATACAATAGTAGAAAATGGACGGTAGATATCATACTATAGTATCACCTTTTCGAACTGGAAAAAAAACATTTTCTTTTTCTTTATTAAAGCCTGGAATTGTTTTCGCGCGCTGGCGTAACGCAGAACAGTTCATTTATGAATTCCTAATTTATGAATTCCTACATGAGTACATAATAATTGTGGCCTTGTGCCAGACTGGAGTAGACAGAAAAGTAGATGTAGTTGCTGAGGGAACCGTGGTGTCAAGAAAAATGCGGAAGATATTCCTGAAAGTATGGAAATGTCTGGCGAATGACGGTGCCAAATATTCCATATGTACCACGATGACGACTACAGCAACAAGCAATGACGCAGTAAGAAACAGAAGACAAAATAAATAAATTTAATAAAAACAAAAAATAAAATTAGCGGCAGAAGATACAACTACAACAACAACTAAACAATAAGAAACAAATCAATCAATGGCGGCCGTTGCTTATTCTAGCGATGAACTCTCGTTTCCAGCACTGAAATCTCGTTAGTTTTTCTTTCTTTTATTTTTGTCCTTTGTTTTTTGTTTTTTCCTTCTAACAATTTTTCCCTTTTCTTTCAATGCAATTTCGGATTATCGCCCCATCTCTTTTGGAGAAATTGTCCCATTATATCGTAGCCTGCTTAACCAGAGATACGATCAAAATGCGTCTTGCTACACCTAGTCTTCATTTCTTTTTTCCTTCGTTCGTTGGCTAATTCATGATGCTTTTTCTTCGAGCTCCACTCCTACGTTGTTCTTTCTCACACTCAACAATCTTTTACAGCCCAATACATATATACATACGCATATCTATCTATCTATCTATCTATCTATCTATCTATCTATCTATCTATCTATCTATCTATCTATCTCAGTCTTTTCATCTATCTATTTATCTCAGTGATTTCATCTATCTATCTACCTATCTATCTCATTCTGTTAATCTATCTCTCTCTCTCAGTCTTTTCATCTATCTATCTATCTATCACAGTCTGTTAATCTCTCTTCTCTCACTCAGTATTTTCATCTATCTATCTATCTCAGTCATTTCATCTATCTATCTATCTATCACAGTCTGTTCATCTATCTATCTGTCTCAGTCATTTCATCTATCTATCTATCTATCTATCTATCTATCTATCACAGTCTGTTCATCTATCTATCTGTCTCAGTCATTTCATCTATCTATCTATCTATCTATCTATCTATCTATTTCAGTCTTTTCATCTATCTGTCTATCTCAGTCATTTCATCTATCTATCTATCTATCTATCTATCTATCAAAGTCTGTTCATCTATCTATCAGTCATTTCATCTATCTATCTATCCATTCATCTATCTATCTCATCTATCTATTTCAGTCTTTTCATCTATCTGTCATCTCAGTCATTTCATCTATCTATCTATCTATCTATCTATCAAATCTATCTATCATCTATCTCATCTATCTATTCATTCATCTATCCATTCATCTATCTATCTATCTATCTATTTCAGTCATTTTCATCTATCTATCTATCTATCAAAGTCTGTTCATCTATCTATCTATCTCAGTCATTTCATCTATCTATCTATCTATCTATCTATCTATCACAGTCTGTTAATCTCTCTTCTCTCACTCAGTATTTTCATCTATCTATCTATCTCAGTCATTTCATCTATCTATCTATCTATCTATCTATCTATCTATCTATCTATCTATCTTCAAATATCACTCCACAACTGCTCCGCCTCTTTATTGTTTTTTCATGTCGCCGTTTTCGTTGTACACACATTTTAGCATTCATATTTACGAAATTTATCTTATCCTGGCATAAGGCTACAAATCTAGCGCACTCCTTAAGCATAAGGTCGCTACTCTAGCTAATGAGATAAGTCTTTCAGCATCTATTCTACGGCGTGTCGATTAGACCTTTATAATATTAGTTTCATCTGTCATATGCTTACAAATGAAAGATGCTGAGTGAGGACGAAACCCGCCATAGTTGAGTTTAAAAGATGAACATTAAATAAGGCAACAAGTGTTGACCTGTCGTAAAACCAGCCAAACTAAGGTTACATTGGGGCGGTGAGTTCGATCCTCACTGGGTGCCCCATACAAAATTTGTCAATAATACGGCAACGAGTATTGATATGTTGTAAAATCAGTCAACGTAACATATGATATTGGCTAAAGGAGTTCGATCCTCACTGGGTACCCCATACGAAATTCGACATTCCGTAAGACAATAAATGTTGACATCTTATAAAGTCAACGAAACCTCACCTGACATATTCTGAATTGGCTTCGATCCTCACTGGGTGCCACATACAAAATTCGACATTAAATAAGGCAATGAGTATTGAGATGTCGTGCAATCAGCCAATCTAAACTAACATATAGGGTAGTGTGTTCAATAATCACTGGGTGGCCTAAACGAAATTCGACTTTAAATAAGGCGACAATTATTGATATGTCGTAAAATCAGCCAACCTAACGTAAGATATTGGCTAGTGAGTTCGATCCTCACTAGGTGTCCCATACGAAATTCTACATTAAATAAAGCAACAAGTATTGAGATGTCGTAAAATCAGCCAACCTAACCTAAACTAACTGGGTAGTGAGTTCGATCCTCATTGGGTGGCCAGTACAAAAGTCGACATTAAATAAGACAAAAAATATTGTTATCTCGTAAAATCATCCAACCTAACCTAGCATATGGAGTAGCGAGTTCGATCCTCACTTGGTACCCAATACG